TTTAAGGCCCTTATACAACTATTTACATGTATTCTTTTGTTTTTTCAAGCTTTCATACAACTGTTTTTTTTTTTGTTTTTTTTTTTCAATGTTTGGCACTATCACACATCTACAAATTCTTCTTTTTTTTTTTTTTCAAGATGGCATCTTCAAGCTGAAAAGAATCCTGATGCTGATACAGAAAGTGACCCAATTGTAGGACAAGAGAATCCACCACTAGATGTTATCAATAACTATTTCAGTCTTGGTGCGGATGCCCATGTAGCGCTTGAATTCCATGTTTCAAGAGGTGAAAATTTAGATTTTTCATTTATTTTGCAAACAGACCTTTCTTTTCACAGTGAGTGATCGCCTACGAGCATTTGGTTCGCGCAAAATTTAACCCCAGGGAGCTAAAAAAAAACTTGTCTCGTTTTTAGTCCTTGTTTGGATGCAGTCTCTGAACAGTGACTTATGGATTGTCCTTTGTGTGTTCATTCATGTATATCTGTGCACATAAAATGATCGCTTTCATTTGGAAAATTGAAACTCGTTGAAAATTCAACATTAAGTACATATTTCTTACAATTCACACAAATGCATGCCAACAATTTGCTCACATAATTGTCTCAAGATCCCTCCAAAACTTAAAAAACTCACAGTGCAGTTTTACGGTTTTATACATTAAAATACATAAACATTGAAATGGTAAATTATGACTTTTTTGTAAACTGTTAAAAACGCGGAAATCTGTCTGGTCTTGCTTTATTTATGGTTACACTTTCCTTAATCACAGCGCCCTCTGTGTCCATACATACAGATTACTTTCTTTAATTAATTAATCACTAATAGCTCAAATTTATATTTCCATTTTTTTTCCAGAGGCCAATCCAGCAAAGTTTGACAGTCGGTTTCGCAATTTAATGTTCTATGCTAAAGCGGGTGGCAAGGATTTTTTAAAAAGAAGCTCCAAAGATCTCACAAAGTATATAACAGTAGAGGTATGTTATTTCTCTACTCCAATAAAAGCAAATCTATTTTAAGGTTGATGCTATTTTCACCTATTAAATAGATTGAAATGTTATCACATTATTTTATTTCAAGACTGCTACTCAATTTAGTTCATTGGAAAATACACCATATCCTTTACAAAATGGTAAAAATGGATATTCTTAAAACTATTTGCATAGTAATCCATGTAAAAGCATTATTTCAAGATAAATAAATAATATTTTCCAAGAAAGCTCATCAAACTTATGCTGTCTGAAAGTAAATTAATTATACTTAATGTACCGGTATTTATTGTCTGTTTTACTTCAGTGTGATGGAATTGATATCACTCAAAAAGTGAAGGACCTCAGAATACATTGTCTACTCTTCCTGAATATTCCCAAGTAAGTGCATATTAATTGCCTAATTTGCATAATAGTAATTTCCAAAAATATCTCAAGTATTAATTTCTCACCTATCATATGAAACTTGGTACAGACAATGTTAATGCTCTCGGGTTCAAGCGACCATCTCACTGTCAAGTTCACTGTCTATCGAGTAACACAAGTGTAGGAGGTTTAATAAGGTATTGGGTTGGGGGCATGTCCTTGTTAATTCATTAGGATATACTTGCTATGCACATGTAGACATCACCAAGACAGATAGAAGTTAATTCTTCTAAACCGAACATTTTTCATTTACTGCGTAATCTTGCATTATGGGGGAAATTGATTGTAAAATCAGAACAAACAAATGTCATAGCATTATGATGACGTCAAATCATCTTGTAGGATTCACCAAATGCAAATGAGTATTTCTATACATATTAATGTATTTATACATTTAATGAAGTAAGATTTCTCATCGTCATATTTTTCTACTGAAAGATTGGCATTTTAACATTGTACTATGAAAAGAAAGTTGAAAATCAAATCGTTTGATTTTTTTGTGGCAGATGTTTGGTTTGTGACTTTAACACAATACACCTATTGTATCTACATGTATTGTATACTGAAATGGGACATGTAGATATAACCTCTGTTGTTTATTAGTTCCTATTGGGATTGACCTGTGCGTGCATGTATATATTCAAACCTATATCTTAGACATGCCTGGACCGATTACATTCAAACTTCACACATACATCATACATAATATCAAACATAGGCAAATCAATTTGTTTCACGATCTGATTCAAGATGGCCGAATGGTGGCCATTTTTGTGCTGAAAAATTATCATAGCATTTCTGGCATTCTGGAACCGAATCTCAATATTTTTTAATATTGCTTTAAAGATATTGATTTAAAGATATTTATCTCTAATTGTCAACTTTATGCATAAATCTAATTTTGTGTTCTAAGGTATAGTGCGGGCACTACGCCATGGGGTAATCCAAGCTCTGCTAGCTATCCTCAGTTTGAGGCTCAAAGACATGACGATGGTTTTCTTGAAGTTCTTGGATTCACACCTTCGCAAGATAGTAAGTAATGCTCGTTTATTTCAAATTACATGGATTTTTATTATCATTTCTGTATTTTATTTTATTAAAAAAAAATTATCAAATATTCCAAAATTTTAATCTTATTAATAATAATAATAATAATAATTTATTTAATGAGGGTAACAGACAAGTTAAAAATCATTTATTAAATTTGAACGTTTACACCAGACTCAGAAGCCTTATCAGTTATTGATGTCAATAAAATGCCGTCACTGGACTCCAACGTTTGCACCGCACGCAACGATCTTTAATGTTTTTTTCTCATTATATTATTGCTACCAGCAGGGATAAAATGTACAGCGCTATGCGTCAGTCATACGACCACTGTTCTGCCTTTTTGTATACATTGCGGTATTCTCGTAATAGCTTCATAATATATGTTTTTGTCCATATTGCATCTCCAAAAATACTCAAAACAGGGGCTGAGCTGAGAAGAATATGACTTTGTTCATTTATCTTTTGAAATCATTTCTGCTGAAACCAAAAATAAATTACTTAATTTTTCTTTCAAGGCTTTTAATCAAGTTGGTGGGCATGGAGAAAGACTGTGCCAATGTCGGGAGGTAGTTGTGACAACGTACAAGACGCTACCGTGCCAAGTAGATGGGGAACCATGCAAGTTGGCACCCAGTATTATTAAAATTGCATTACGTAATCAGGCTAATATGATAATGAAGCCAAAGAGAAGAGGTTCTATGCCAATTAGTAATGAGTAAGTGTGTTTGTGATTTATGGATTCTTTTCTCCCATAATGATCTTTGTACATCCTGTTTGTGTATGCTCCCAAAATGTTTTGGTAGTGTTGTGTATCTTGGAGCAAGAGTGTCTTCTATGCTACTGTAAAATACTTTCAAAATGTTTCACTGAAAATGATTTTTTGGTGTTTTGTATGTAGTTCATTTTCACTGATTTTTGATGAGCTGAATGTAAAATACACGAAAAAGGTTACTTCACGTGATTTTATTTTTACTGATTCATAATTTCAGCAAAAACAGCACAAAATGAATATTTTAATTTTGTGTATAGCTCGATATCACACAATACATGCAAGTGAAAATGTAGTGAATAAAATAAAGAACTTTACAGTAGGTAATCCAAAGGGGTATTCTTCCACTGTTTGTACCACACAAGTACAATATCTTCATTTGTTTCAGCATCTGTGTTGATAATATCCAAGTCTACTTGGTTCGTCCTATGTGCAGATGCCAGTAGAGTGGAATATTGACATTATTTGCATAAACTGAAAGAGATTTGAGATTTATTTCATTCAAACTGACCATCTCTCTGCCACTTGACTTGGTGTATTAGAATATGAAAGATGACAATATAACCATAGATACATCTCTGTGATTTAGTGTAGAGCATGTGTCAACAACTGACCAATAATATATGTCTCTATTTGTTCAGCGGTTTGCGGATACATGGTTATTTATCCTACCTATTGAAACAAGTTGGGATAACTTATTAAAACCAGCTACATGCAAATACTTTTTCAGTATTAAATTTAGAAAAAATGTTTTTATTTTAAATTAATTTTGTAATTTCCACAGTTGCTACCTTAACTATAATTGATTGTACCAGTCCAATACACTGTGAACGTTTAATTGGGACAATCGGGTTGAACTATTTTATACCAAACTAAAAATTCAAAAGATATCAAGTTAAGTCAGTAAAGCATTGAAAGACAGCGCCATCAGTAAGAGTTTATTGTAATCTTTTGTTTTTTTAAATATCAACACAGTCTTGTCTCTTTCAGATCATTGGGTTATTCTGACAGGTTACGAGTTCAAGTTAGTCGCATTAGTATGTACGACTATGAGAGACTCAATTATGAGAAAGAAAAACTGAAAAAAGCTTGTAAGTATTGCTTTTTCATCATTTTTCAGATATGAGATTTAATGGGACCCATTCTTTGTTTTTGTTCAA